ATGTTGGACTCAAATGCATTTCCTACTCTGCCACATTCTAACTTCATTGCCTATTATTTACATTCTCCTGGCCTCTATTTCCTCTTTTGTGTAGCTGGTTAAATAATAGCTTCCTTCCAGGATTAGTGTGAACATTAAATCCTGCCACATCTGTAGAGATCCCAGGACAGTGCCACATATAGTAGATGGTCAAATGTATCAGGGACCATTTCTATTATTGTTGCTATTCTTAGTTCACTGGCTCAGGGTAATAGCAGAGAGAACAGGGCAATAGATGTTTTTTTGTTTTAGTTTGCAGTACATGTAGTTTATAATACAGTTTGCTTCATTTTTTAAAATCCCTTCCCTTTCCCTCTTGCCTCCCTCTCTCCTCTAAATCACCTTTTCCCGTTTTTGTTCTTGTTGATATCATTAACTATATTCCATATTTATGATATAAAATGTGTACGTTCACCTAAAACAAAAGACCCACTCAAGAAATGGGCAAGTGAAATGAGCAGACACTTCACAGAGGAAGAAATAATGCAAGTGGTGAACAAATGTGTGAACAAATGTTCAACATTCCTGGACATTAGAGAAATGCAAATAAAACAACACTAAGATTCCATCCTATGCCAGAAAAAAATGGCAATTATCAGCAAATCAAAGAATAACACACACTGGCAGGCTGCCATGAAAAATGTCTATCTCCTCTTACCAAATTTTGCAAAAATACAAAAAGTGAACTGAGTGATAAAGGAGAAAGGAGATTCTAATTTTTTTCCAATCAGATTTCCACCACTGTAAGAACATTTCAGTGTCCATATCACAGTGGTTTGGTAACACTATCAATGTATGTTTGGAGATATGGAGATAATTGCTATAAATTTCTAATTTTTAAAGAGGGAGGAAATATAACTGAGCAAGGGAAAGTCCTACAGAATTGTTATCCCACTTTTTTCAGTAAGAGCATCTTCCAACACTGTTGAGAAAGCGGGAGTTCCTTAGTCTAAGACCTGTGCCTTTGGCTTGGTCCCTTTCTCCAGCAGCTGCTCACAACCACACACATCAGAGCGTATGAACAAAGCCTTCTCCGAGAGGCTGGCACTGAGACAGGCAAGCTGGGGGCTCCAGGAAGAGTGGCATTTGTTCTTGCCTTCCGTGCTTCATTCATTAAATCCTCCTTGTACTGTGCGCCGTCCAGAAGTCTACGGCTGAACTGTAACTGCGAAAGTTCAGCGCTGCTGTCTCTGCCTGGTGCCTGGCACAGAAGTGAAATGAGCGATGGGAGCCCATGTAGGCTGGAACTGTGGTCACACACTTCCTTCCCTGTGTCTGGTTGTGACCTTTTAGCACTAGTGCTGGAACTGAGATAAGAGAAGATTCTAGACCCCACGGACAAAATTTTAAAAAGCATTCACTCCACTTTGTCACCTCCATGCTTGCTGGCCCCTGAGACACTGGGAGCATCCCTTAAAGAATAAGCTACCCTGTACGTAAAATTTAAGGAGACCCTTGCACTCAGCAGCATACCATCAGAGAGTCAGCGCCTAAGACTCTGTGCCTCCTTGACTATTGCTGCTCTCAGAGCCTTGCTAGCTGGGATCATTCCTGGCCTTATGTGAGACAGTGGTCAAGGGATTGGGTTCAGGCAGCAACGAGCCTGTATTTTGGAGGCTGTGCTATTATCTTTTTTATTCTACTACAGGCAACTGAAGGGGCTGCCTCTAAGATATTAGAATTACAGTGTTTGTCTGATGTTGATCCAAATGGAAAGTCTCCATCTAGAAAGTCAGAAAAGTCTGAAGAAAATGTTTTGTCAGTCCTATCTGTTGTAACAGGAGAAAGGGACTCATTCTGGTAAGAACACATAAGCGAAATTTGTCACTGCTGTATTTGCATGAAAATATTAATAGGAAAGTCATAATTATTGCTTCTAAAAGATTTATTTTCTATTATGTCTTGCCAGTATCTGAAGATCCCAAAGCAACTTTTCCAGATTAGAGGTGTGATTCCCATAAAATAGCTTTGGCATTTCAGTGCAGAGAAATGCCAGCTGAAGCAATCCAGCTGCCTGGCTGGTTAACACTTTACAGAGGTCAGACGTTGTACCACTTTCTTGAAAAGCAACTATTCTGTTCCCATCAACAAAGAGATAAAAGCCTGTACCCAGCTGCCAAATGATTAGAACATCCTGTAACTGAAGGTGTGGAAGGAAGGAGGAAAGTGGAGGTCAGATGGGGTTCAGCTCCTAAGGAAGTAGAAGCAATGTAAGAATGCAGTCCTGCTTTGGGGACTATGCAATACCCTGACGCTTGTATTTTCTCTTTCTTCTTACCAACTGCTGGGAAACTCTGTTCCCTGTAAGTCTGGTGGTCACCTAACAAAAATGATCCTCTGGCCACACCAGACAATTCTCGTAAGATCCACAGCTTCAGAGGCATTGGACAATCCATTGAAATTTGGCCAATCCTCGATCCTTATAACAAACACTTTTAAAATCAGACAGACCTGAGTTTTAATAAGAACTTTGTTTTTTGTTATGTACATAGTAACTTATCTGACTTCTCTGAACTTGTAAATTACAATAGGGCTTACATAAAATAACTTAGACATTGGCTGGGGTCATTAAATGTATTGAAAAATATAAAACCCTTTAAATAAAAAAATTATTCTTCTTCTAAGAAATACAGACTTAACTGAAGGATGTCTCATCATTGCTTTGAGAAGGAAAATATCACTCTCTAAATTCACTGAACAAATAGGAAAGTTGAAGTAAGCTTAGCTAAGGTACGTGACTTACTGAAGTCCATACAGCTAGAAATATCCAGTTCAGAGTTAAAGCTCAGTTTCCCAGATTCACTGTTCAGGACCTTTCCTCTAATTTATCAGACAAACCCAGAACTTAGATAAAGAGGATCTCACTAATAACTTCTCGGTATCAGCTGGTGAACACTTCTGAACAAATTACTCCATCTGCCTTAGCTCACCCACCTAGAAAATCCTCACCTTCGTCAAGGAAGAAAGATGGGCATTAGGACAGTGCTATACAGGGTCAGAAACCATGGCATCAAAAAGGCTCACTTGTAAGTTGGAAAGAGAACCACACTGCCTTGCTTTAAACATGTATCTTTGGCTCCTCACCTCCCTCTCCACTTTCATGCCTCTCATGACCTTTAATTACATCTAAGTATTTTTCTTTATATTTTTTGAGAAGTATAAAGTCATAAATAGTTGAAAACATCACTTTAAGGACGACACTGTTTCATGAGTGCATTTTTACCTTATTTTCAGTTTGGTCAGTGTTCTGCTTCAGGAACCCAGAATCATGTCCACAATACTCAGACACACCAGCACTCAACTCCTGGCTCTCGCTCCTCCCTGTCTGCTGAGAGTTGGGTTTCACAAGGCATTTTCCATTGAGTTGTGAAGAATTTACTCAAAAGGATAGAGAGCGAAGCTAGCTGACACGGGCATTATGCATACCCTCCTCTGGCTATAACAACAAATTATTGGTGTTGAAAAGCCAGAGAAGAACCATCTTGTCTTGGGAACTTGTGACAAGCTTATTTCCCTGAGAATAATGAATGAGTGAACTGCTGTTCTCTCAGGCACACAAACATCCCGAGATGGAGACATGCTTGTTGAGTAAGGGTTTCTTCTCATGACAAATATAGACATTTTCCCACTCAAGGAGACTGCAAATCAACTGTAGGCTTAGATCCAAGAGTCTAACACAGTATCTTAGAACATGAGAACTGAAGGGGTCTTGGACAGCATTTCTCTGCAGATTGGCAGCCCTCGCTTAGAAAGAATTTTCACTCTGTGATTGAGTATAAATTTGAAGCAGAAGCAAGAATTTCACAAATACATGTCTCCTATTACCAATGATACACTCATATGTCCTTTTCTATCTTGTCCTTTTTTATTTTTTAAATAAATACTGCTGGTAATTCACTAAATTGTCTTTATAACCCAGTAAACAATCTCTTCCCACAGTTGGGAAACAGTGACACAGCCCCATTGCCTCACTGGGTAGGTCATTTAACACAGTACATAAAGTAGGAAACAATAGTCTTCTCACATTATTCAGTATGTAGAAGTAATTATATACAGTATGGTTTTTGGTTGTTTGTCTTCAAGTCCTTCATAAAATTTTTTCTATATTTTTATATTAGGCATCCTGATTAAGTTAATTCACTTCATCTGGATTCCCTAAGAGTTTTTGGTTTTTATTTTACTCTATAGATTTAACTACTATGCCTTAGACATAGTTTTTCTCAAATATAAAGCACACTTTTGTATTTTCATAAAGAACTTCCCTAATTATTAGCTAATACTAATTCGACACAATTCAAATCAAAACCAGTAACTCTTTGTAGCTACTTTTATTACAGGATATGTGTGCATATATGCAGTAGGAAAAGCTTCATTTAAAAAATGGAATCAAAACATTAAACATAATACCCAGAAGAAGAGGTTAGTTAATAGGAAAAATAAGTTCAAGAAGTAAAAGGAGGAGCAAAAAGGCAGAAGCTAAGTTGTTTGTTTTCATAAAATGCCCCCTGATTTTTGTGAGCAACATAACAGGTACTGGGAATGGTTACAACAGGAACTGCATCTAACAGTTCCTCTACAAAACTTTACGGTGAAATGGTAGTGAATTGTATGAAATTTTTATACACACAGGAATACTTGGACTGCTGTCTTTACAGGGTAGAACTGGCAAATACCACCATTCAGAAAAGCAAAGCCAAACTGAGGAGTGTGAAAAGGAAATAGCTCACCAGCTAATAAAAGATTCCTCATGATTTTCTCTTTCTTCAGATTTTCAGAAGAGCAATGGGGAAAATGAAACCACCTAATATTTAGGATATTAGCAAGAAACATCCAGGATCACAGACCGTATTCCCAAGAAAACCGAGTCATTCACACATGCATCCCAACTCACACAGGGCAACAAGCTCCCCTCTAGCAAACGACCCAATTAAGGTAGAGACAGGAGTCAGGCTGTTACTTACTGAGAGCTGAGGGCTTGTGCAGGAAGGGGAGGGGGCAGTACTTAGGATGCTTTGAAGAGAAATGAATCTATAAACTGTGCTTAAAGCCTGTTGTAGATTCTCAAAGAAACTTCCCTCAAGTCGAGTTGTCCATTGGTTCAGAGAGGTGCACTGTGTTATAAAAAGTCAAAAGGGTGACTTGGATTTCAAGAGAAAAACAGTGAAAAATGAGTTCAAAAGGAAATATGGATTCTGCCAACCTCACAGAGACTTTGACTCCTCTATGAAAGCTTATTGCAGATCAGATGCTCTTTTATTAAAAAAAAAAAAGTTAATAATTTACTGGATAGCTATTCACAGAACTGGGAGGTTATTTATAAAACATGGCTGGGTGTGGTCAATGACATCTACACAATTATTGCCTCTCAACACCCTTCACGTAAGAACATTTACTGGTTTCTCTTGCCATAAAGTCTATTGTCTATGAAGACTTTGATTAATAGCTAGGAATGAGGGTGTGTGTTCCACCTACTGATTTAAAGGCACAGAACGTAATTTGTGGTTAACCTACAGCCCTTATTGCACGGAAATTACACCTATCCCCCCTGTGCTGTGTCTGAAAACTACAGTGCAATCTAGGGATTGCTAACTTGAATCTGGAAAAGTCCTTCTCTCTATCCTCTTCTTTATTCAGTCACAGAGTCCTGCCCAGTTAAGTCACCTCCCAAATCTACCAATTTCATTCACTGTCCGTCTTGAAAACCTGTGTACCAGTCCAGGCTACTAACCCTTCTCACCTGGACCACTGGCTGAGCCTCCTTGCCAGTAACCTTATAACACTCTAGCCCAGTGTCCACACACACCAGCAACAGTCCTTCAAAGGCCCTTCAAAAGCCATCCCAAGTGTCACTCCGCTGCTTAGAGCCTTTGATGCCTTTGTACCAACCTTGGAACAAAGACAATGTCTTCACAGTGTGGAAGGCTCTTTCTGACCCACTGCATCCTCCTCCACTGCTCATCTCTCACTGCTCTTTTGAGTAGCAGCCTGCACTTGGAACAGTCAGAGGAGCCTGTGGTTTCTTACTACTGAGCCTTAGAACACATTGTTGCTTTCACTGGGCCCCTTCCATGCCTATTCTCCCTGCACTGTTCATCCCTCCAGAGCTGAGCCAAAGCCCCTCTCCCTTCAGAAAATCTTCAGAACTGATTTAGAAAAGCCTGCTTCGCGCTACCATAGCCTCTTGGTCCTTTTTCATAGCACTAATCACAGTGCTATGCCTGTGGAAATTATAACATCCCTTTCTAGCCTGAGAATCAGAAATCTGCCAGTACTGACAAGTCTTATCTGAAGAGACATGTTTGGGGAAAAAATCATATTTTAAAATAGAATATTTAAAATATCTAGAAGGAATCTTTGTTTTCAACCCACTTTGCACTCCATTTGATTTTACCACCTATTTTCCTTCCAGGGCACGAATGACATTGAGATGTGTTCTGTTGCTTTGTTGATGTTGCATACCCATCACAGGACTCAGACTTATAAAAGATGACTCACTTTGGTGTAGTGGTCCAGGCCTGTAATTCCACATGCTGCAAAGCTGAGGTGAGATTAACAGTCTGAACCCAAGCTGGGCAATTTAGCAACTTAATGTGGCTCTATTTCAAAGTAAAATAAAGTAAAATAAAATAAAATAAAATGGGTTAGGGTTCAGTCTGCAGAATTGCAATAAGTAAACATCAAAAATTTTAAAAATCACTTTATTTCACTAAAAGTATTCTCATTTCAAATACAATAGTATTATTGTTTTGACTCATAACACAGACAAAGAAAGGGAGAATATTAAAGGACTGTCTAACAGCATAATTAAGTTCAGTTACCCAGCTATAGCCTGTTCTTCAGGTGAAGTCTCTGAGGCTTTTACTTCTTAAAGATTTTTACTACTAGTATCTAAAAAATTTCGATTTACAAATGTTATTCATGGAGCTTCATACATTCTAGGTTTGTATAAAGGAATAGAAATGAAGTCTTAGTCTCAAAAGATGCCCTGTTGATTAAAGACTTTGCCTGTATTTGTTGATAAGTATAATTTGTCAGTCACTAAACAGTATAAATTATGCTGGAGAGAAATTATAAGAAATTATAATATAACTGTCCTTCCTCCTAGAAAGTTAAAATTTAGGATAGTTTATAATAGGAGAATTTTTAATTAATATTTTATATAAACCCCCAGAGAGTTTATCATTATAATTAACATTTTTGTTTGTTCATTCATTTGATCAGAATTTTTGTGTTCAGTTTTGATTGTGATATAAAAGCTGCTGTGAATATTACAAACATCTTTTCATGAACATTTTTTTAAAAATTTGTTTTGTAAATGGTTACATATATTCCCCCAAACTTTAGATAATCTAGTTGCTGTACATATCTGACAACACTTGATATTGTCATTCTTTTTCATTTTAGTCATTCTCGTGGGTGAGAAGTGGTAGCTCAGAATAGTTTAATTTCTATTTACTTGATTCATGATAATGTTCAGCATTTTTTCATGTGCTTATTCACACCATCCAATTCTTTCTTTAGTGACTTGCTAGACAGGATTGATCATAATTGGTACACATTTTAAACTGGGTTGTTTGTCTTTTTCATAATCATTTTTAATAATCTGAATACATTTATTTTTGTATACAAGTACTTACAATAATTCATATGTACAATTATATGTGTTCATATGTATGAATGTATGTGTTTGGATATCAGATGGTTCTATTACCATTTTTTAAAAAGATTACCCTTTCCTCATTGAACTGTCTTTGCAATGATGTTAAAAACAAGTTGGTTACAAGAAACTACATCTAATTTCTGCTCTGTACCATTGATCCATTTGTACATCTTTGCACTAGTACCACATTGTCTTCTTTCTTACAGTTGTATTTTAATCTTTGAAATGGGGCAGTACCATGACTTTTTTGGGTGGAATAGTAAGTCTGGTCTCTATTAATTCATATGGCTTGAAAAAATAAACTGACTTCTTCATAAAATATTTTAAAATAATTTTAATTAATTTTTAAATTTGGAATAATTTCAAACCTAGAAAGAAGTTTCAAAAATAATATAAATAATTTCATTGTAAACTACATCCACTTTTCCTTGGGTTCAACATATTATATAATAATATAAGATGTTAACAGTGCTACATTACCATGAAGTAATATGTACTGTACTCAGAATTCAACTTTTTCTCACAAAAGTCCTTTAGCCAAATGAAATCTTTAGCCAAATGAAATCATTTAAAAGTGTACTGGTCCAAACATAAGAATACCTCATGGAATTGCTCGAGTTTATAACAGGTATAATGTCCCAGGAAAGGTCGAGATCATAGGAGACAACTGATCAGAAAACAGACACGTCAAGGAAAGAGAAAGCCACGTGAGATTTGGCAGCCTGAAAGACGACTCTCAGCGTAAATAGGCACAAGTGAGAGAAACATGGTATGAGATTTGGTCTGACAGGAAGAGCAACGTGATACAGGCAATGGCCACCTTTCTGATCCTTATTTTTCTTGTAAAATGGGAATAACAATAATCAGCATAATAATTTCCACCTATACAAGATTATAGCTATGATTGGGATGGCTGAGTTCTGTGAAAACATCTTATAAATGATAAAGCAAGAATAATGAAGAAGATGACAATGGTAATGGCCCTTCCACGTATGGAAAGATCAGTGAAAGAACACCTGTTTCTGGTCTTATCGAAACAGAAGACCCACCCAGTGCTCTTTCCATACCCTGGAGATCATGTCTTTGTATGGGCTTTGGCATGCAACCACCCAAACACAGATTCTCAAGGAGTCATGGGACTAAGTGTTGAAGGGATCCTGCTATCCAGCCACAGTCTTTACTTGCACTCCGATCTTTTCCCCTCATTAGGACTTTAAGAGAACTGATTCATTTAAACAAGGAAGGCATACTTACCATATGCCATTCTCTGTCCTTAATGATTTCTTAAACTAGCAACACACACACACACATACACACACACGCATGCATATTCTCATACACACACACACAGAAAAATTGAGACTATCTCTCTGAAAAAATGCACTCTTTAAGTTTGTGAGTTCACCTGGGTGAGCACCCATTGCCTTTTCTATTATTCAGCCTAATATGTATTGACCCCACTCAACAAAAAAATCGGTGCTTCCATGAGGGCCACATTTTCGGAAGCTGTTTCAAGTCTTAAGAATTGTACCATACTAAAGCTATGTCATGATTACACGGTGTTAACCTTCAGCAAATGAAATAGGAATCTTAACCATGAGGTAGACTATGGGCAGAACCAACCAACCAAAATGGCAAGGAAATTTTGTGTTTAGTTTCTACTACTATATTCTTAATGTTGATGTCCTCCCAAATTCATATATGGAAACCTAACACTTAACACAACAATATTAAGAGGTGGGGCTTATAAGAAGTGATTGAATCATGAGAACTCCACCCTCCTGTACAGGATTAGTGCTATTATAAAGGAGGTTAAAGGGAGCTGCCTTGGCCCTTCCACTCCTTCTGCCATGTGAGGACACAGCAACAAAGTGTCACATAAGGAAAGGGTCTCTCACCGAACACCCAAACTACTAGTATCTCAGTTTTGGACTTACCAGCTTTTTGAGCTGTGAGCAATAGATTTCTATTGCTTATAAACTAACTAGTTGTAGTTATTTTGTGACAGCAGCCTGAAGTGATTAGGGCATATGCTATTTCCTTATAATCTCATTTTTATTGTGACATCACTTCCGCTGAGTCCCCCTGTGGCTGCCTGGAGAGCCCTGTCAACAGGAAGAGTGCCGAGGTGTGTGAACTTTATGGCTTCCACCAGAATTCATGCTCCTGGCTCCAATTCCTAATGGATATGCTATTTTTAAATGGTAATAGGTGAGAATGATCATTAGAAAATTAAATTCTTCCCCATAAGCACATTGCTGCAGTTAAATTTATTCCCCACAAAGTGCTCCAACAAAAGCACAGCAGTTATTCTAAATGTAACTGATTAAATTATTTTGGTTAGGGCATTTTCTAAATCTTTCAAATCACATCACATTTAGTCATTCACACTATATTCATGGATTTCTCCACACTGTTGAAAATCAAGCATCTGCCAGGTCTCATACTAAGGACTACAGTGCTGCGTCATAAGCTCTCCCTGATTTATACAGTTACTGTGTAGTCCTGTGTGATGAAAAAGACTTTCGTGATGAAAACAAATCAACAAGCTGTTTATTTATAAACCCCTAAGTAAATTCAACATGCTCTCAATTACCTTTAATCTGTTCATAAAAGTCACTTATGACTTTCTGTAAATGTTTGTGTTCGTGAATCATCAACTCCATAAATTTAAATCCTAATATTTAAAAGTAATCCATCATCTTATACATTTGTAAAAAAAAAAAAAAAGTGTTACCTGAAACAAATCAGTGATATTGAACCAAATCAGACTTACATCAGAAAAACATTCTGTTTTCATTGTTTGGTCTACAAAATAGAGAATGCATTCACAGTCTCAAGTGAACAGAAGAAAACAATCACACTGTACAGACATGATGTATTTTTTATTATGATAAATAGGGAAAACTTATAAACTTAACAGCATATTAATAACATGGTGTAAATAACATCTGCAAACAGTTGGATGGTATTTATATTTGAAAAACTATGTACATATTAATTCTTATCAAAGAAAGCCCAAAAGATGTCAACTTGAAGTTATTAATGAAATTGTTTTTTTGGTTCCCAACCTCAATTTCATATTTTTTGGCATCTCAGTTTTGTACTGTTTTAGAGTCAGATGAGTAAACTCTAATGTCTTCTTAGCAAGGAAAAGTTGTTCTTATTTCTAGGAAGCAGCTGGGCTTACTTCCTAAATCATTTACGATGAGGCTAGAATGTTTATGGTAACTGCAGAGTTCCAAAAAATGATACTGCGGCTGCTTCTGCATTCTCATTGCCAGTACAGCAGAATGCATAACTCCTAGCTGGGCCATGGAGGAGAATTGTAGAAATGAAGGTGGGTAGAAAACCAGTAAAATTAGAAACAGGGAAGAAAATCCAGTAGAAATGCTAGGAGTAGGAATCAAGACTCTGAACAAGATGTCTAAGAAGGGTCAAGTTACCAGTATCATCTGGGGACCGATGTTAGGAGGAAAACAACTAAGAAAAAAAAAAAAAAAAGACAACAACACCATGTGGTTGCAAGTAAACAAAAGTATTCACTCTTGGTGTTTCTTTAATGCTGCAAGGACTGTGGTAATAGAAACCAACTGGATTTTCAAGGGCAAGAAACCTTGCCACTAAATAAGATAATGTCATTCTTTCTGATGACAAATAGGAATGGGTGATCAACTTTAAACACTGTGGGCTCAGGTAGTTGCTTTTCTACAATGTTATTTTCAGTGACTGCGGTTGCTTCGGTCCCCTCCTCAGTGACCTCTATATATGATTTATGCATTAGTTTCGATATGTAGAGACGACCTCCTGAAGCTATTCCAGAGAGATCAGCTCTGGACTCATCAAAGATATCTTTCAGCCCTAGGGCTTCCAAGTGGTGTTTCATCTCATATTTCTTCTCTATCTTGAACTTAGGAAGAAACACCTCCACATACTGAGATTTCATTTTTCTTGGATTGGTCCACCTCAGTAGATTCCTAAATGTGAGGTTTTTTTCAATCTGTAGGAATAATTAAAAGTACTTTAGAATCACATGGTATAGAAAAAAAGCAACAACTGCAAAAAGATTTTGGCAGTTAAGTACATGCCTAGGTCCTGAGGCAGTTTGGAAAGAGCAAATGATTTAAATAAACAGTTTAAGTGCTTTTCTACAAACCACATGCTTCATTTTCTCTGCTATGACAAGGTGTGGCTTGTTTGCACTGCAGGATATGTCTGTTCTCTGCCCACATAGAGACAGGTACAGCCAAAGTGGAACAATGAGTAGATGAAAGAATGTGGCAATCAAAAACTCCTCAGTGGGAGGAGAAAAAGAGCTCAGCAGTCGTTTAAGTTGGTGTTTTCTGACCATTGCTCTGGTCTGAAGACACAGAAAAAAATAATTTCACAGTTTACACAAGTAAGCCGATGAAGGCCAGGTGGGTTGTGGCTAAACCCCAGAGTCCCAGGCCTGAGAGCTTGGGAGATCAGCGTCTCACACACACAGGGAGGCTAGGTTCCAAGTTGGTTTTCCTACTCAAAGGTGGACATAACTGAAGCTCAGGAGGTTATAGGGAGATATGCCCAGGGTGCAGAGCAAGCAACCCTAGTTATGCAGCTGGGGGCCCACATCTCTCTCCAACACTATGGCTACCCCTCAAAGATTCATAAATTGAATCTGCCACCTTTTGAATATTAAGAGCCACTCATAGATTCTTCAAGATTTAGAATACAAAGGTTTTTCAGGATCATTGTTTCCAAATCTTATTTACAGATATTTCTTCTCAAATCTAGAATTATTGCAATTCTCTCTCAGCTTTTATGTAGTATACCTCAGCTATATATTAAACTTTACTTGTATTTCTATCAAAGGCCAAAACAGCCTGAATTTTCTGAATGTAAATTTTCCAGTTTGTGGATAACCTATAATAACTTGTTATTGTGAATTGTATTCTTTTCACATTCACCCCACTACCTTGCCAACTTTCTCATAATTATCTGGTAATTCAGGGCTATATAAGTATTGAAACTTAGAAAATATGTAAATGTATACTAATCTAATTTGTATATTATTAAGTAAATTTATTATAGTAAAGAAAATTCATAATAAGTGCAAGAATAAATCTATCTTATGAGCTATCTACTGTTTGTTTTTCTTTGGACTACTTTATTAACCTAGACCACTTTAAAATAAAATAAATGATATTTGCTAAAATCTTTTAAGGGCATTATAAAGTGAATTACTGATCAAATATGAGTAGCAATATTTTATTGCCACACACTAGATTTAATAATACCAGGTATATGATAATTTTTTTCACTGATCTTTTTTTAAAAGGCTATTAAGATAAAAAACCTCATGAGAGAAAGTCATTACATAAATACAGAGCTCTTCTATATAGAACTAAATTTCTGAAGCTTTAAAAGGCAATTTTAGCATCAATAATGGTGGCTGGCACATTAGTAGGTATTTCTTATACATTTGTCCAATAAGTGAGTAAGTGGGTAAGTAACTAATATCCTAATAATCTGAAATGTCAAAGTTGATGAGTAAAAATATAATAAAGAGGATCCTTAATGTCTTCTTATTCCCCATGACTGGAAAGGACAGTAACTTACTTGGGACAGGTCATTTTCAGGCAGCAGAATATACATGCTTATGCCGCCATGATATCTGAGCTGGAGCACCTGCATGGATGGGTCCTGAACTGTGCTCAGATTAAATCTCTGTTCTTGATGCATCATGGGAACAGCTTGCTTGGAACACTGAAAGTCAAGTCATAAAGGGTTATTTACAGTCTCATTTCATTTTATATTTTGGCCAAGTACACATAAAATATTGTATTGGTCAGTTGATTTTTCTGACATGTTGCCAATACTGGTTGGATTAGTGAACATCTTAGTGGTAAAAGCACAGATTTCTGAGCTTACTCCTTGAGTTTAAAAGTTCTAAACTATGTGACCTAAGGGTAAGTAACTTCACCTCTGTCTTTCTCTACATTCTCCACTATATAAAGGAGATTACAACAGTCCCTGTTGCATAGGTTTGCAAAGATCATGTGAGTTAATATGTTTAGCAATAGGAAAATTGTCTTGCACTTAGTATTTTAACTGAAAATGTCTATACAATAAAAATAAATGACTATTAAACAATGCTAAAATGAAAGGTGGATGCCACAGATTTTCTGTTATTGAAATTAAAATACAAATTAATACTATCAAAATTACACAATTTAAGAATGAACTCTAGAATAATTAAAAACTTCTGCAAGATATTTGGTAATATCACTTTAATTAACTTGGAGAAACTCAATAGCTCTTTTTTTTTTTTTAGCAGATGCATATATTGATTTAAAAACACCACGGAGTCAATATGTAATACAACCACCATTGTTAATTCCCTACCACTTTGTTTGTAACTCTGTATTGTCTGTATTGTGCTTGTGATATGTTGTAAAATGTTGTATGTCTGTTAATGTTTCCCTCCTTTTATCTTTAAAATAAAAAATAAAAAATAAAAACACCACGGAGGTACAATAAGCTTTTTCCTAATTATATTAGGATCTACTAACTTGCCAGTATTTCTGCAATATCCCCTTTTAGGACAAAAGTTTCCTCATGAGAGAAAATTCTCTTTCCTTAAGGTAAATATCCTCTCCCTCTGGAAAAATTGCCCTCTTTTGACTTTAAGACTACTCTTCAGGAAGAAAAGACATAAACCAATGAAGAAAAATAGCACACTGGCCCGGCGAGACAGGTTAGATGATGTGAGCCTGGTGTAAGGGGCTGGGATGTCATGACCACAGTGTTTCGTGTCTGTATGATGCGAGGCAGAATCACATGCTACAGAGGTGAATCTATACTGTTTAATGTGATGGACATAACACTAATATCAGTGACTGAGTTTCCATAGCCTATTTCATTATAAATTATGTGTTATAGTAATATTATACAGAGTGTGTGACCCAGCTGGAAGAGATTTAAAAAGAGTTTATTACAGGATATTACTTGGTAAAATAAAAACTTCATTAGGAAGAAAAACAAAAACAAATGAAACACAGCCTCAATCCAGGAGCCAGGAATACTTTTTTCTTTTGTGTTCATTGTTGGAAGTGAGGTAACAAATGCAGTTTATCATGGGCAGTGTTGAAGGAAGACACAACAAACAAAACCTCACTTCAAAACCCTGTCAGTCTCAGTCACTGAAATTTTAGCACTCCCTAGTATGCTTTATATTATTCTATTACTGCTTCTTATAGATCAAACCTCTATAAGGCATAGCTGTATTTTATTAGGATTTATTCTATTTTTTTTTATACACAATTTTCAAAATATCACTGTCCATCTCTTTTTTTTTTTTTCCCGCAGAGATGCCTACATCATGAACTTGCTCCCCCAGAATCTGACTTAGGACCCTCCAGGGGTGGATACACAGATCAGCTGATCTGCAGGCCAGGCAGTTGCCAGGGACAAACCAAGGCAACAAGCCTGGTGTGGATCCTAGTTCCAACGGTGGCCTTGTCAAGTTTCTTCTTGCTCCTCCCCAGCAGCTACCATGCCTGCAGACAGGGCCTGCCTGTGTTATCTTTTGTTTCCCATCTTCTGAGTCATTTGCTGATCTCTAACTTCCATGAGTGCTCAGAATTTCTGTTTCTAAAACCTCTGGTATGGGAGAGTGTAGACAAGACATTTTAATAGTTGAAAGTAAAGCTAAATTTGACAGTTAAACCCGAATTTCTATGTTTCAACATAAAAGGCTGGTTAAAAGGAATTTGAGACTTTGCCTAACTGAATCACTTTGTTTTGCATGTGAAGAAGAGGAGGTTAACTGGCCTCAGACAACTCAGCTCCTATGAAGCTGGACCGGAATACCAACATGATATATCTGACATTTCTACTATATGAAGACTTCTGGTATTCATACTAACTGGTATAAAAAGAAAAAAGCCCAAGAATATATATTCTGGGCTGGGGATTTAGCTCAGCGGCAAAAGCGCCTGCCTGGCATGCGCAAGGTCGTGAGTTCGGTTCCCGGTACCGGAGAAAAACAAAAAAAAAACAAAAAAAGAATATATATTCTATGAAAGTTGATAATAAGGTGTTTCATATTTTAAAAATGAAGAAATAAAATAGATTAAGAAAGGCATAGCTTTATTAACTATAGCTTTTCGCCACATAAAAAGAAACATCCTTACTTTCACTTGGGAAAATCATTGATAGCGAGTGATTTTAAATGTAGACCTCTACAGTCAAAGATAAAAATAATAAATGCATTTTAAATCATGTTTTCCTTGTATATGGATCCAACTAGAATATCTTAAATTCATTCTTTAATACTTACTTCAATTTTGAATATATATTAAGAAATATCAATTTATGGAATAAATCTCTTGGGTTGTGTTTTATAACCTGCATTAGCATTGCTTCATAAATCAACTGCTCATACAGTTTTGACAATGCAGAAAATAGATAGTAGACCTGCCCTTCACTTAAATATCACAATTTCCTGACAAGAAATACTACTGGAAAAGTTCCCTGAATTATATCAGAAATATACATACCTTGGGTGATTTGAAATGGCACTTTATAGTGTCCCTTTTGAGGAAAGCTGATTTCCACTTGCCTTTGAAGTACACAGCATTCACTAGCACCATGACAGCAGAGGAGCTTATGCTACTATCACTAAACACCTTTTTAATTTTGCCTTTGGAAAAATTCAATGAGGAAAGACAAATTAGTTGTTAATGTCAATTTTAAAATATCGTTTTCAAAGCTCTTTAATGGGCTTGAAGTTTTTCTTACCAAATTAAAAAAATAATGATTTTGGTGACATTAGTAATAACCTATGAGCAATTAATATGTCTGGTACTTTCTAAACCTTTGAAGTACAATGTTTGACGTAATCCTCATAAAATCTCTAGGAGGCAGGCACTGCTATTGTTTTTGCTTTCTGTTGAGGAAACTGAGGCATAGAAACATTAAGTAATTTATACAGAAATCACCCAATGATAGTGCAACAACAAGAGGATTTCAGCCAGGAAAACAGTCTCCAGAGTCCCTGCTCACAGACACCAGAATGCCTTTACTGCACTGACCAGGCCACCTCTAGTCACTGTGACACTACAAGTATAATTTAATTCCCTTCAGTGGAATGGGTTAATTCCTTACTCCCTTTCACATTAATGAGCTTTTCCTAGAAATTTTACCCATTCTTGGTGGTGGTAGAATTGCAACAATGAAAGACGCACTCCATGATATTACTGCACTACATTCTAACTCAACATAGTTAACAACTGAAAAAGGGTTTGTGACACACCAGTACCATCTCTATGTGATCCGTGTTCTGTGGGGCACCGATTAGGGGAAACAATACGGACGTTGCTGTCTGCATGAGGTGAGGGCAATGAGGGTAGGGGGGCAATGTTCTTTCCTAAAGCAGAGACTTATTTGTTCAAAGATAGCAATGTGAATTTGGGGATACCCTGACTCATTTGTCACAGTTAGAGAGAGTAAGGTTAGCAAGGTTGGAGGCAGAGCCAAGAGGATGACGCCCCTGAATGTCTGGTAAGAATTTCAGATTATCCTGAAAGTTATGGGGAATGACTGTTCAGGGTTAACAGGCATGTCTTGATGGATCCGATTTGCCTTTCACATGGATGGCTGTGATATTATGCAGAGGAGAACAGTAACCATGATCTACATGTGTTGTTTAGAATACTGGCAGCAATTTGAAGTTTTCCCAGCAAATAAGTATTGAATACATACATTTAACAAGATTATTATAATTATACATATATTTGAATGAGAAAGGATTTGAATACTCCAGGTAGAAAAAGATATCAGTAATCTGATACCCTTATACATTAAATGCTACATAGAATACCATTTAGTTACTAAACAAGTAATAATTATGTAGTTTCTATTCATTTGTAAGTGCTATAATTTGAAACTTTCAGACAGCTATGAGTCAAAGTAACCCATTACTGTATAAGGATGCATGAATGAACAAAAAGGAATTATTAATCTTAAAATTATTATTAATCTTAAAATTAACCATATGCTGTTCAAAGTTTCCATTTAAGAATGTATGTTACCTGTCTTGTGCTTCTGGGGTGAAGCCAGATTCAACAAAAGCACATATAATGCTGAGTGTACACACCATAACCAACTGTTACGTGAAGGTGTATTTACTAGCTCTGACATGGATTGATTAACAAAACAAAGGATGGATGGTTTTCTTTATACTTTTTAAAGTACTAAATGTACATGTACTGACTTTGTTAAATGTATTAAACCAGAATATTGGCTAGAACTTAGTTTTTAATTGTGAAAGAGACATCAATAAAGAATTGAATTTTTTTAGGAAGGTCTACCTTTGCCCAAAATGGTACTTTTTAATAAATGAAGACATTTTTTAAAAGATAAACTGTAAATCCCTTAGAAAAAGCAATGACATGAGAACTAATTTCTTTGCAGTGGGATGTTATAGCCGTAAGATTCAGACCAAGAAGGAGTGGTAAGATGAAAATTAACCCAATCACAACCACGGAGTGACCATTAGAATGAAGTATTATGTTATGGTTATTGAAAATAATGTGCTGTAAGCAACTCTTACTTTTTTTCCCTCTTAACGAGGGTGAAATATTTTTGTTAATTCAGGAAATTACCTCAGCTTGTTATTGATTTATGAAATGGTCATAGTGTATGTTTGTCTCACGGGATTGTTTTTCAGTCAAGAGAGATCATGTGAAAGGCAAGGTATCTGATAAGCATAACGCATCCAAAATATTAAGATTACACAAAGCCATGTTTCAGCCTAATGAGAAAGACATTTTAAATACTCAAAACAATGATTTTGGATTAGTAGGAGCTACCCTTTATATGCACAAAGACTCTTGCATTAAAGTTGACACTTATTAATATTCATATTTACCTAACAAATCTTGTAAAACATAAAGTATTGCACTCACCATGTGTCTCATTTTCAATCCATCTATTAATTTCATATGTGGTATCTTCTATAGCATTTGTAAAATCAACTCGCTGCACTTTGGCCTTGTATAATTTTTCAGCACACTCGATATAGTTCTAGAAATGAGAATGCAGTTCTATAAAATTCTTATATTTACAAATTTCCACAAACTTAACATATAAGATATATATTTTTGAACTGGTCCCAACTTGTACTGATTTATTCAATAAATAGCTCAAATCTGCCTCAAAAATGAGTATGCATAGCTGGAAGTATAGAGGACTGATTGAAAGGGGACACAGCGAACTTGTAGTTGAATTTGGATAGCAAAAACTATTTTGCCTTAACTTGATCTGAAGTTGATTGGAAGAGGCTAATAGAGATTATGGCTAAATCCCACACTTCTGCTTTACCACTGCTCTCACATCCTAAATATCCCAGTGGCCTCCTAACTATCCCTTTTCCTCCTGAAAATCTTTAAAGGCTACTCATTATACATAAGACAAAGCCCAAAAAGTTAGAGCCCAAGGTTTTGAGTCTAACCTACCAGGCTTCACTAAATACACCCTACTCACCTCATTTTAGTCACTTTATCCTTCATACTCTCACCACACCCCATTTCTTAGTTCTTCAAAAGTGCCATCTTCATGTTCTCTCTCCCTTGAGCCTTTGAACAACATTCTTTCTGTCTGGAATGTTCCACATCTCTCATTTTCTCACTTAACTTTCAGGCATAGGCTGCAACTATGTCTTATAACTGTGACTTCACCTTTACTGTTTTCTTTTTTTATAAATGCAAAATATCTATACATCTTTATGGATACATTATGATAGGCTAAAGCATGTATACAATGTGTATTAAACATTTGCATTTCTTCCAATGTTAATCACAGGTATTATTAAAACACATCTTTCTTAATTTGAGATTTTCTGAGGTCTTTACAGGATAACATATTCTGCAAAGCCAGGAACATTTGCACCTTGTTTATTACTGTATTCTAGCACCACATATAGCATGTTGCTTTGTACATAATAGATGCTCAAGAAACACTTGTTGCTTTTAATGCTGCAAGATAACATAAGGGAAATTCTTGAATCCCTAGGCACAGGTCAAGACTTCCTGAATAGCATTCAATAGCCCAGAAAATAGAATCAAGAATCAACACACAGGATTACACATCAAAGGAAACAATCAATAGAGTGAAGCAACAACTCACAGAAGGAGAAAATTTTAGCTACTCTTCTGGTAAAATACTCATATATAGAAGTAAATATATTAACCCTCCCAAACAAATAACTCCACCAAAAAGATGGGCAAATGAGCTCAGTAGAGACTTCTTCAGACAAATGTACAATACAGATATGAAAAATGTTAGCCATTAGAGAAATACAAATCAAACCAAGTTTGAGATACCATCTTACTCCAGCCAGAACGGACATCATCATGAACACACACACACAAAATAAACATCAGTGTCTTAGATATCATCTAGCTTTGTACTGGTCTGAAGGATTAAAATACTATAATACTGCATTTAAAATTGAGTGTAGCTTTAGAAGAATTAACTGTACTTGGAAATACTTGGGGGGTAAAATGGGTAGTATCTCCACTTTCCATGTTGTTCGTCAAATTTCACCCTCACTCTGTTTATGTGCTTCTGACTACACTGATTCTACATACCATGAATGCCAGAAAAAAAAGTATGAAAATCTGCAATGAGTATTGGCATGAGAGACACATCACCTTCAGTAAATAAAATTATCAGCTATCCCATGGGAACACAGCAGTATGCATAGAAATAGAGAAACTGAATCAAATGTAATGAATATATAGCATGGTTCTTATTAAACTTGTGTGGAAATCTTGCAGAAAGTCTCAAAAACAAAGTGACTGAATGCTTCACAATTGTCACAGTACTAAAGGGTTTGGGAGTGGTGCAGGAGAGGGGCAAAGAATTTGAGTGGGTGACAGAGCAGACTATAATGATTGGGCGGGGCACAGAGCTGGCAAAAATGCGTGTAGAGATTAGCCCAGCGATGTCACTGAAACAGTGTTATATAGTTGTCTGAGAAGTGGAGAATTAAAAGGGAGAGGAAATATGTCCGTGTCCAGGTAAACACGGGTGGTGTGTCTGGTTAATAACCCTAACTAGGTAAGCAGCTTCTGGTAGTCACAGCAATGACATTCCAAATCATGGCTGGGTTGAGCATAACAGGGTTGAGAACGCATTCTGTGCCTCACTTGTTTTTGGCAGACAGGACACTATGATGAATGCAGTGAAGCCAACACCTCATAGAGAATAAAATATGTTTGTCTGCTGACTGCTTTTTCCCACCTCTGTTAAGACTGAGCTCCTCCTCTGCCAATGACTAGCTTTATCTGGTCATACCTCCCAAAAGGGAGTCACTTATAAACAATGTCATTGAAAGAATAAAGAAATAACTGCTGAGAGAGGAGATGTAAATCAGGACTTCAGAAAAATGAGGTGCAGAGACTCATACCAGACTGCCTGGGATACCAGACTGCCTAAGTATGAAGCCTAAAAAGAGCAATGATATTTTGATATGTCTGACCCACATCTGCTCACCCACCTTACTTCCTGTTTGCAGCAGCCCAAAAGTGCTTACTCTGTTAGGACACTGCATACCCGCCCCACCTGATAGGTCACTGAGCCTGTTGCTATAGTCACTTACTCAGCCATTCTTACTCTCCCAATCTCACCCCCACCTTCTTTACCTAAACCTGGCACACTAATCCATTACCCTATGCATAAAAGACCGAGAGCAGTAAAATGACTTTAGCTCTCCAGTGGAGTAGACCAAGAGATTCCCCACCCCAATTTGGGCTGACATTTGTGTTCTTTTATGGGGTCATCACCATTTAGCTAGCATTTTCCTCTGGGTCTTGACTCCTTTAACTGATCATTGAGTCTGCACCAGGACACACACACACACACACACACACGCACACACACACACACACTGCATTATAGCTCAACATTACTACTGGTGTGGAAGTTCTCTAGTTTTGGACTCCACTAATCCAAAACCAAATACGTGGGTTTACTGGGTGAGAAGTTGACCTTTGGAAACATTAATGATATTTTGAAGACACCTGGAAAAATAATTAGTAGCAGAAAGAAGAGAAACACTTTTGGATGGCTCTTTAGAAAGGCACAAGCCTTTGTTCATGTAACACATTTTAAAAGACTCAGGTCAGCTAGAAATAATCTTGTAAAATAGCTTTCACTTACCTTACTAATGTCAAACTCTTTTTCTGCAAAAAGACCATTGGCAATCCTGAGCTCGTAATCCTTGTGGGATGCATTAATTTCAGAGAGAACTTTTTTCAGTTGAAACTGAAGTCCTGGCTGGTTTTTAAAAAGGATATATAAAGTTTATTCTTGGACTACAAAGATATGCATAGTATCATTTATTCTTGATATAAAAAAGGGACCTTTTATTCTTTCCCCCAAAACATACACCTTATACTATAAGACAGTTGAAAAATAATGATGCTATTAAAGCAGCAAATAATGTCATATGTACATCCAGTCCTTCCTCATACTAGTGCCTATGATCAAATTAAAGAATGTCCTGAAATAAATATACTTTGAATAAAATTATTAATAGAAAACAATGAATTCTTGTAGTAAATAACTAATTTTATCAAGGTAAGTTGCCAGTGAATAACAAAGGAAAAGGGCAGATCTTTTGGTTCTTGACTATTTTACCTCCATTTAGCCAATGAACCAGTGAAATATTTTTAATTACTAAGTAAGAAACAAACTGTCAAAAAATTTCATTTGAAATACCCACAATCATGTTTGTTTTAAAAGGATAGGGGAAGATTAGAATATATTCATGCAACAGTTACTTTCTTCAACTTAATCGAACATACGGCCTTTACCTGATTATTGGAGGAATTTCTGTGTCCTGAGGCAGTGTTCAAGTACAGCGTCTGCAAGCAGGACACAAGGAAAGCAGTGTCAGAACCAGGAGTTACTAGGGGGAAAGCTGGCAAGAGGCCTTATAATAGCAGTACTTCATTGCCAATAAAATAGTCTAATCACTGTTGCACATTCACCAGTGTGCTCCTAGAACTGACCCTCTCCGTGACTCCAGGTGAACATCAGTGAGCTGAAGGAGAGGAACATGTTCTAGTTTTAATTTTTATTACATATTTCTCCTTTTCCATATCCTGACATCTCAGAGGTGCTCCTGGATTTTGGAATTTGTGTTAATTTACATAAAGGCTATAGTGACAAGAAAATATGCTCATCTGGTCATCAAGCTGCACTGCAACTTCCTGCTAATGGGAAACTTAATAAAAAGCATAAATAGTTGGTCTCAACAGCTTCAGTACTCTATTGTCAACAAAATGCTACCAGAGTGTTCACTATCTCAACAGAATAACTCAAAATACCTGTGGACTATTTTATGATCTACGTAATGCTAAGTCTTTTCATGTTGTTGCATTATTTTTTTTTAAATGAGCTGGCAGATATTTTATGAGATCTATAGGTTTGAAGGTGAAGGAAGATTTTTCACATAGAAAATGCTGATGCTCTCACGGGCTGCAGAACAATTGTCCAGGGTTATCTGGCCCATGATTGCTACAGGTTCTAGGTCAAAATTTCCAGTTCTTCCAAAACGAACACAAGCTGTGTGTTATCACTCACAATTGAGACAAAGGTCATCTGAAAGAGTTAAAACTGGTCAAAATTATATCTTACTACAGCAATCATTTTTTAAAAACCTAATACCATAAGTAAGAAAGTGTTGAAACTGAAAAATATCAGGCTTTTCAATTTCATCTTATCATGAATATAGCTGGTTTAAAAAAATAAATACATTTACCTTGTCTCCAATTTTGAATCATTTTAAATTTTATAAAACAGTATAAAATAATCTACATTGAAGGAACAAAAGGGACAAAGTCTGAAAAGTCCTACTCTCTTCACCTTTAAACTTATAGATCTCATAAATGGCACTGTGGGAGCAAAAAAAGCATAAGTCATATTAGGCCATGAGAAAATTTATATATTGTAATAAAGACAATATAAAGAAAATGTAAGAACTTTTAGTCCAAAATTTTCACTATATTATGAGAATCTTGTTTCTTTCCAACATTTCTATTAAATAAGATAATATCCACCCTGACTACTCAAATCATAAGGGAAGAGCATTACTAGCAACTAGATATAGGAGAAAGGCAGGTCACTTCAAAGGACAGAAGTGACCACACCGTGCCCACAGACTTTCTCATACAAAAAGTTTTATCTGGTCCTCTTAAAATGGAAGTGCAGAGAGGTCTACAGGTAACTCTGACTATGTAGACACTCTAAGGAGTAAGATATTTTGAGCAAAGAGCTGAAACACTAATGTGAGTAGTACTTGACGTTACCTAAATACAAATAGATTTCAAACACTTTTTGACTGATGCTAGACTTGTGAATTTTGAAGCTTATATAATTCTGTAGAAAAAGACAATGATATCAAAATTTGGAGCTTCACAGGAATAATAGGACCTTCCTGACTCTTCTAACCAAAGCAAATCAAGACAAAATATTCTAAAAGGTAGTGGTAGGAGTTTGAGGCCAACCTGGGTTACACAGGCAGTTAGAGGCCAACCTAGGCTACATAGACTCTGTCTCAAGAGCACAGAAACAATTCTTAAAAATATCTGCATCATGCCTTCAGTGAATGAATGAATGAATTTAACATTTAATGGGCTGTTGTACAAATGTTATCCTCTTGTAACAGCTTTTGTATTGAAAATAGCGAATGATTTCCCTACAACCACCAGGCATTTTAATTTGATGACTGAAGGAATTTAAAAATACTTATTTTAGAATTATTGTTTCAAAGTTCCCAAAGAACAATGCATTTTGCCTTTTAAATGGAAAAGAGATGAGTGTCTGCCTTAGGAAATGTCCAAAAAAGCATTGTTATGCTCCTTCCAGCGTCCAGGGCATTAGATCTTAGAGCTGGAAAATTCAGCATTAGTAAAAGGAAAAAAAACAGAGAGAGAGTAATGTCATGCTAGGAATATAAGAAAGGCAATGAGTTTTGTAGAAAAATCTTTGTATACTCAATCTGTTTTTTTAAAAAAGAATGTTATAAAGAAATAATCTGCCAGCCTTCTTTAAATTTATATGAATGTTTAATATCCACAATAATAATAATTGACAGAACAAAAATAATAATTGACAGAAACAATTTCTCAAATCATCTTTGGAAAGAGAAGGCTCTGCAATGATGAAAAGATTCTGAGGTCTCAATCACAAGACAATTTTACATGAAATTCCAGTGAAGTCTGAGAAGAACTATTCCCTGGCAAATTTTTTAATCACCCAGGCAATTTTTTAAGCCACCCAAAAAAGATACAGTTAGAGTTTTTAGGAGAGGGGTTAAAAACCTCTTCCTAGCCCTCCTTCTCTTTTCACTACTCTTCCTTATTCAATAAACAATGGTGGTCTTAAAACTAAATCAACTCAGAAACATCCAACAATTAGGAGCCAGGCCTGGGCTGAGCCAAGGAGTGGGTATCACAGACACTGACGAGGCCTTCATCTCTGTGGTGCCTCATAGCAAATTCAGCAGGACCACAAAGAAAGTGAAGAGAGCAGCCTCTTGCTCAACATATGGCCTTCATTCACCAGACCTTCCAGCAGACTCAGAAATCCCCCCTACATGGTATCAGGCATTTCACTTAAAGACCACAGTGGGGTGGCTTTAACGGGGGTAAAAATGCCTATATCTGGTCATGCTGAGTAAGAAAGGACCTGGTGAACAAAACAAAAAGTTAAAAATAAAAGTTGTTGAGGAGATGAGTATGTAAACTAGCTTGATTTAATCTTTCTACAATGTATACACAGATGAAAACATCAACCTATAGATGTATAGTTTTTATCAACTAAAATGTTATTTTAAAAATGCTTTTAAAAAATTTTAAAAAGTACAAGTAAGGTCGTGGTGAAATAAAGCAAGGAGTTGAGACTTCGTTATTGGTGGTTGTGTCTATGTTTGTTTTTTAGCATATATAAAAGGAAATAAAAGTGCAGTTTCCCTACTGACTTGGTTAAAATATGGATTATTCATTGGCAAATGTTCCACAAAGTGGAAGTGTTAATTCAGTGACTACAAAATGAAAAGAGTTTAGTAACTTTGACTTGCATATCCTGGGGGAGCAATTTAATAATTGCTTAATGATTAAATCTATGCAAGTATTAAACAGAGTAAAATTTAAGCATGTAAAATTGGTTTAGTCAAATGGGATGCAGGTACAGGCAGAACTAAAAGTGAAAAGTAGCCATTAAATATCTAGGAAATATTAAAAATGAAACTCCATTGTGGATGAGATATATAATTCAAGATCCAAAAATTATTTTAAATTAAGCAAGTTTAGAATTTTCCTTTCCCAATGTGGCACTCATAACACCTTTTGCTAATAATTGCTACTGTATCCACATATTGATTTTCTCATGCACTTTGTTCAAGTTTTTCTTAGGACTTTTATTTCTATGTGATTGAAAATCTAAAACAGTCCCCCAATGAGCAAGTGATAAAATGTACTGTACATATCAAATCAGTCACGGAACTTTTGAGGCAAAATTAACACTTACTACCCACACACACACACCTTGAGCGTAAATGGACAGTACCCAGAGAAAGCTATGTATTGATTTCACTTTTATTTCTCCAACCAATTATAGAAAAGGTCTAAAAAACTCCTAGGCAGAAGTGGACTAGTTGAATTGTCTCTGTAACTCTTGACACCCTGATTATGTTTTCTGTAAAAACGTGCAGGTCTGCTTGAAGGGGTCAGTTACGATTCATTTGACCATATCTCTCACCAGAGAGGACACGCTCAAGATACCGAGGGCCACTCTGACAGAGTTAAGAAATTTGTGTGGGAACTTATTGAAATCAGCTAATGTCATCACCAGTTTTTGTGAGGACTTTCAATTTCAATGCTCCAGACCCCTCATCAACATCACAACCTTACTGACTAGGGGAAGTGGAACAGAAAGTACTACAAACACTTACAAAGGCTATGAGTGTCAACTTTAGTCTTAATATGCTACAGAAATTGGAACTTCCCTCAATTTCTACCTCCTTTTAATGTGGAAGAGATGAGATGGAGTGAGAAATAAGGCAAAGTCAACACAGCAAGTTTGATATACAAACTATTAGTTATTTCAAGTTCACAAATAAGGTTATCTACAGACTTTAAGGCAGCAGTCTAGACTTCTAGGTCGTTCAGCCCCTAGTTCTCTACTATTGTGGCACATGAAACTCTTTTTTTCTTCTTTTGCCCTAGCAAAACATGCGCATTTTTAGTGCCTTAAAAAATATGATGTTTGTTCCTTCTCAACCAATTGAAAGTGTAAGTTTGTGACTAGAATACACCAAGGTACTTTGGGCCTTTAAATAATCCTGTCTCCATTTTGTGATCAATTTTACTTTGCAACTCCTATGGAGTTGGTAACCTGTCATTAGGACAGGAAGCTTCAACAGAAACCTTTCCCTTTCAGTGGAATCATTTATTTTTACTCCTATAAGGGAGGAGATAAAAATAAGAACCACTATAACTTGAACTATGTGATTATAATTGTTTCATTCTTGGTCTTTTTGACATCTACATAAGAAAACAAATGAAAAGGAAAAATTGCACATGGAAGTCATTGCTGTCAGTCACCTCACTTTAAGAAGAGGAAGAGAAGTGGCAGCCTTGTGTCTGCTGACCTTGTCCACGATTGGTTCCATTATACCTTTGTTTCCTAAAGTAAGAGGTCAGAAGCTGGGGAGCCCAGTTTTCTGATCTTTAGAACAGTTCATGAAGAAAAATTTAACTGCAGAAGACTGGGAACACTGTGGGTGCTGCAGGTGACTGTTATATAACATTGCCGTGTCTAAACAACAACTGGCTTTCAAATTATAGAACAAAATCTGATCCATATTTTTCATCACCATGAAAAGAGAATTGAGTGGTTAATATTAAACCCAGAAAAGAAAAAGAAATTGCCTTTTTGGCCTAAATTTATCAGATTAATCTTCGTAAACTTTCTATAGGTGTTTTTTCAAAGGAGACGATGGATCATCTGTTTCTCTCTAGGCTTCTTCTGTGCAGTCAGTCAAATCACAAAACTGTTATTTCTTCTTACAGACTGGTAGAATAAAAATATCTACTATGATGATACTATAATGATGATTTTTAAATGTTTGTTTTAGAAAATTTCAATTTTTACAACTTCTAAATAATATTGTCATCAGAACACATGATTTCAGGTAAATATAAATAGGCATAATATATTTCAATAAAAAAATTGATGTGAGAGAGAAGAGGGGAATAAGTACCTCTAAAAGAGAGGGGAAATAAACTCTTTACACTTTTACATGAGAAGGAGATAACAAATGACAGTAATCTTAGAGATGAATGAAAAACATGCTGAACATACGATCAGTATATAAATATACTTTTTTGGGCCTTTCACTACTTGAGTGGCAAGCATCCTTCATGGTCCCTTAATTCTACGGAGCCCCAAACCATACTAATTCTTGAATTTAATCCGGTAAATGAGCCAAGGGTTCAGAAAGAACAACTGGCCCTTTAAGTGAGCTAAGAAAAACTACGCCAGAACATTACTCAGAAAGCAAAAGTATTTTGGGATTTGGGGGGAAGAATTAAAGGATTTCTAGTTCCCTAATTTACAATTTGAGATCACAAAGAAAAGAAAAAAGACAATCAGATGTACATAATAGTGCTTAAAAGAGACACTTGGGAGGAAACCATGAATTATTATTGTGTTGAGTTTAAGTTTATCTAAAATGTAAACATGTGGTCCTTGGTATCTAGGGTCAGTTGTCATAAACAAATAAGACAGGGATGAGCTGAGATTTAATTTACTAAAAGGCATCTTGCAAAGGACAGAAATTGATTTACACAAATAAATTATGGGCATGATTTTATGATAATGACATTTTTTCTCTTAAATTTCCTATAAGAGGTCATAATAAGAGTTATAGCTGGGTGCGGTGGTGCACACATGTTATCCCACCTATGGCAGGAGTTCGAGGCCAGTCTGGACTACAAAGTGAGTTCAAGGCCAGTCTGAACTGCATGATGAAACCTTGTCTCAAGAAGACTGCAACAACAATAAAAGAGTTATAAAGCCACACATGAAAGTAATTGATAGGACAGTGAATATTGAGCAGCAACTCCAGCAGGACAACAGCACTTTCAGTTCTTTGTGACCTACCTCCCTTGAATCGTTGATCCATGGGATACCAGGCACTGGTGTGCATCAAGGAAACTTTCAAAACTTCATCACGCTACCTGCAAGACTGCACCTGGCATGAGCTCACATGGTGAGTACGATCTGGGTGCTTCTGCCATTGTGTGAAAGGCACACTTCTGTGGTAGAAAACACCCTGCTCATGATTGTCTGACACATTAAACAGTAACAACTTTGAGGTTTTTTCTTCTTTTTTAATTGAATATTGTCAAATTGAAATCTTCAATGTGCAGATGAGAACCTAAAGCCCCATTGAGATGAAATAATAATTTTCCTAAGGTCAGAATTTGGACTCAAGACCTGATTTATTTCCATGACACCAAGTTAAATCAGTTTGTCCTTAAACTTTACATATTTTATCCATGGATGGGTACATTTTTATTAACTTATGATTTTTTTCAAAACATTTGTGCTTATTTAGAAAAACACTGACTAAAGCTTTACCATGAAGTGCTAAGTTGCCTTTCAGTACAATGGCTTCAGGACAGTTGTTCTCAACTAGGGATTGATTCTGGAGGAAATAAAATCTCTGGAGATATTTTTGTTTGTCATGACTTGGGACAGGGGGAGCACGGCTGGCATTCAGTGCAGAGAGAACAGGGATGCTGCTAAACTCCATTGCTAGATGCACAGGACAGCCCCTCACAGCAAAGGATTATCCAGCCCAGATGCCAGCAGGGCCAAAGTTGACCAACTCTGCTTCAGAAGTGCCTAGCAAGTTTAAACAGCAGATAGAGCATCTGTCAGCACACAGCTCGAATGCCAACAGCCGCTCCATGAAATCACAGTGATAATGCCACTTCAAAGTAGTATCAAATAAGGAATATCAAATAAGATTGGGTTTGTAGGGCTTACCCTGGAGCGTGGCACAGATGTCATTCTCAGTTGTGTTACTGCCATCCCCTTAATGTGAGGTACTCTGTGGGCTGAGTCATAAGCTTCTCTAGCTTTTAATCAAACAGTAGTACTAGACTTAACAGTACCTCCCAGTGAGAGACACTGAGCTAGGCAGAGAAAGAGAACAATTGTACAAGTTTAAATTACCTGCACAACTGATCTTCAATAAATACTAAAGTATGACGACTAAAACATGGACTAGAACCTGGAATGACTTCAAGTAGAAGAAACGATAATGACTTCAAGACCTCTGTATGTAATCTGGACCTGGTATTTTACCTGCTCATGAACTACTGGATTTCCATGGTAATTTCCTAAGCAAAAGGAAAGATGCCCTGGCAATCTCACTTCCCTGTATGGCAAAGAGCATAACAGTATATAGAGGACTGTATGTAGGGATACCTTCATAGGCACTTTTTGAAAGTGACAGAAAACGAGGTGGTGGTGATGACTATTTGGGTAGATTTCTATTCCTTGGTTTGTACTATTGTTTCATTTGTGTCCAGGTAACTAATATCTAAAACTGGACAAAAATGATATCTCCTTCTAAATTCCCTGTTCATGTTTATATCCTCAAGCTGCTTTTCACAAGTTGAGTGTGTACCTGGAGAGCTTTTTAAAACCCATATGGCCAGCCCTATACCCATAGTTTATGATTTAGGAGCCCTGGGGTGGGACCCAACATTTGCATTTTTAACAAGTTCTCCGGATCACCCTGCTGGATCAGGAAACACACTTGGAGAACCAAGATACTAAGGAAAAGGGTTAGAGTTGAAATCCTAGGAATATTCTTGCTGCTTCCTGACTCAAAATCAAAGGATGAGGGCCTAGCATACGTGAGGCCCTGAATTTCATCCCAGTACTTCAAGCAAATGAACAAACAAATAAATAAACAAATAAGTGATTCAAGCTGTGTGTTTCCTTCTAGAGAGGGATTTGTGGAGATATGGAAAGGTGTCCCATCCTGTGCCTTCCAAATGCCATACATTGACACAGGGACCATTGCACTGACACTTTTTTGTGTGAAAAACAATGTGTCTGCTGATTTGCTGCAAAAGCCAAGACCAACCTTATCAATTTGATGTGCACAGTCACCTCGAGCACCCAAGCGGACAAGGCTCAGAGCAGTGAAGATACTCAAAAAGGACAAGAACACATTTTCATTCCCTTGACTGTTATCCATCTCTCTGAGCAGGTTGAAGCCAAATTCTGCGTTTGCTGCAGCAAGGGAGGCCATTGTGAAACCAGGCACAGCCTAGGAGACAATGTGAAGTTAAGTTAGTTCAGAGCACACTTCCTATGTCCAATTCAAGTTCTATATGTGTTTAAGATATTTTAAATTTTAATTTCTTCAGCCTTGAATGCAATTATCAAATCATTTAAAAAAGAAAGAAAAAATTCCTTTGTCCCAGCATATTCCTTACTAACACTCTACAACAATCTCTCTGATACACTCGTCTCACACTGCTGTTCTTCAGCACAAAGATTCTCTTTCTCTGCTATTTTTATCCAGGGTGCATTTTTCTGTCTGGACATTTCTGTCCTCAGTGGCCTTTGAGAGGCCTCTTTTTGAACCCAAAGCAGACACATTCAGGAGTTTGCTATTTCTCAAGACACCCCGGATTTCTGAACAGATACAGAGTAAAAACAATTTACAGCGAGCAGTATAACACTAGACAGCCTATTCAAGGTGTTAATAGTCTTTGCTTTCTAAATTGTCTATAAATTTAATAAAATTTAGAGGCTTACCACATTACTTCCTTACTATTTTTGTCCACTATGGTCTCCATATGCATTCTTTTTCTTTTGTACACCAAAAGCAGTTTTATTTTTTTCTTCAATTTTCTTTTTTTATTGTTTTTGTTTTGTTTTGTTTTTTGACACAGGATCTTGCTATGTAATTCAGACAGGCCTTGAACTCACTATGTAGCCTAGGCTGGCCTCAAACTCATGCCAGTTCACCTACTTCAGCTTCTCAAGTACTGGGATGACAGGCATGTGCCACCAAGCCAAGCTCTCAAATTTTATTTTTTACTAGTACATGTTTGTAGTACTTAATGATCACATTCCTGTGGGGAGTTGGTATATGTACATAACACATTTTAATACTTGGAGCAATCACTTATTCTAAATCTTTAAAAGAACATGCTAATGTTAAATATAATTCATCCTTAGTTCTGTGCATGTGTTTATTCTTCTAAGACCATTTTCTGACATTTTAAAATGGAAAATATGTGTGCATTATGAACATGCTCAAGATTTTCTAACACAAGATGTCTGTTGCTTACTAGAAAACCCAGGCTGCAGTAGCAAATTTAAATTTGAAGATGAAAATAAGGTTATCTTTGAATTTCACAGTGTTGTTCCTGACATATAGAGGGGTGCCACCACCATGGAATTCTTCAGAGATCTAAGTTGCTATTTCTTTCAGATTTTGTCCACAAAGTGAACCCAATACAACAAGTAGGATTGCCTCAGCCTAAATAAACTTGCATGAATATTCCAAATTATTCACTTTGAACGTTTGACATTGTGTATACATCTCATGTTATGACAATTCCAAGAGTCATAAATCCCATCAGGCCCAGTCCCAAGATTGTTGCTACTAGTTGTATGACCTGTGTTGTCTTTAATTTCTGAGTTTCTCAGGTTCAGGTCATTTAGTGAGATGATCTTTTTATGGGATCTAGCATAATGATGATCAAAAGAAAATCCTGCTATTCTCTACCTTCCACGCTATAAGAGGAGTACACCATAGTACTAGGCGTCAGGTTTGGAGGAGGGCAGTGTAGAAAAGAAAGAGCGTCCCAAAGTGGAAGAAACATGTAGTCTAACAATGAAATTGTTCTGGATTGCCACTGTGTACACACAGGTGCAGTCACAAATAATTAATGTCCTGGATGATAGATACTGGAAAGTAGGAAGAAAATGTTCAAATGAGAGGAGGAACAAGGCAAGGTGGAGGGGTAAGGGAAGAAAGAGAAAAGAAAAAACAAAGAGAATAGAAGGAAAAATGAGAACAAAGCTTTTGTAGATGAGAAGGGCTGAAGCGAGGGGAGGGGAATGGGAAAAAAAGAAGAATTAGGATGTGTTGTATATGAGTTAAAACTTCCTGTGGTGAGTGTGAAGATTGTGCATATCAAAGATGTACCAATAAAGTTAATTTAAACAATAAATCAATAAAATTATAAATGAGATTGAAGTAAGTTTTCCCATTTTTATCAAATGGGACCTTGAGTTTAAAAACCTAATAACTATTCTCATAATAGACATTCAATGAATTGAAGCTGCTATATTTATTATTTTCTATAAAATGGTAATATCCTATTCTGTTTCAGAAGACAAAAATATTAAATATGAGGCATTCACAGAAATTCCAAGCCCTGGGAATGTAACTGAGACATGAAGCTGTAAATAATGTTCCCCGGGGTAAAAGTCTATTTCTTCCATTTGGAACACCCATTCTTCAATTACACTTGAGAAACATAAGGTTAGAAAAAAAGGCATTCACACCTGTACACTCTTTATTCCAAGAAATAAAATCTGTACTCTTTTAAAAGCTACCCGGGATGGGGGTGGAAGTTGCTCAGTGGCAGAGTGCTTCCTTAACATGCATGAAGCTGTGAGTGTGATCTCCAGAACCACAAAATAAATGGGTAAATAAGCAAACAAGTAAATAAAATAAAACTTATTCAGAAAAATATTAAGTTGATTTCATATCTAATCCAAGCAATTCCTGGTACACAGCAATGGCTGCTGTCATTGTGCTACAAGAGAAAGACCAGGAGGGAAACAAAGTTGGTGGTGTGGGGCAAGAGTCAGTGGGTCCAAGGAAGTTCTGAATGGCGAGTAAAACTGGCAGTCCCTAAGGCCTCCAAAAATTTCAGGGACTTAAATCCCATTTTGGATTTGAAAAATGAGTATTGCTTCTAAAATATGAAAAAATAAGATCAAAATGTAAAAACATACAATCAAATGTATGAAAATGAAGCATATATGATTTTTATATTGAACTTACTAGTAGTAAGAAATTCATGACTTTTAAGAATAAACTATATGATGGACAGCTCTCCCTTCAAAAAGATTTCCAAGACTTCATATCGGTTGTTGAAAATTATAGACTGTGCTAGATGAAATGAATCAGTCTTAGACAGTAACTGGAAAAACAAAACCACAATAATCTTTTCCAAATATTTACAGTAGAACTTATGTTAAGTAGATTGCAAGTCCATTTCAACGCATTGATATTATATGGACTAGGTCCTTTAAAATAAGACTAGAAAGATTTTTTAAGTGACTGTTTGAGGACCTTTTTGTATAGTTCAGTGGGGATCTGGAAGCTACCTGGTGGTATTATATCCTAAAATGCAAAAACATGCTTCAAGGTACATATGTTTTGGTAAAGCCTCAATTCTTCCTATTTAAAACTTGTGTCTTTCTATTTTATCCATTTGGTGGTGCTTTTTCAACAGTATCATTTAATTATTTTCTAAGTAATAATCATAAATTCTCATTTTCTAAATTTCAGTTATCCTGATAACTTTCCTCACAACTATCATATTCATGAAAGAAAAGCTACACTGAAATTTGTATGAACAAATACAGGGGGTGAGATTTTATTGTTCTGGAGACAGGGTCTCGCTATGCAATTGAGGCTGGCCTTGAGATTTTTTTTTAACCTAAGATAATTTTTGTGGCAGAGAAATCATACTAAATAAAAATTATTCCATAAAAACCTGAGCCAAGACATTCCTAGACAAATATAAATTCTCAAGCCCTAACTGTTAGAATGATAAGTGATGCTCGATTTTATATACTGAAACACATTTGTATGGACATGTTCACTGATGTTGAAAATAAATTCTAAAAATATAATTGTCTACATAATTGTTTTTATTATCTTTCTCTATCCAGGTGCACTGTAGTTTTTAGCAATGAAAACAAGATTCTTCCCTCCTCATCTGATAAAAGTCTGAACCCCGCTGGCAAATAGCGTTATTTCAGGCTGAATTAGTTATTCTATGCCCCAAGGTTTCATAATGAGGCAGATGAGAAAAATTAGAAGAGGACCAAAACTGTGATTTTTCTTTCCCATATAATTATTTTCACAGCAACTTAAATGAACAAAACGTGAACAAAAATAAAGTAAAATTTAAAAACCACCAAATTCCAAATGACTTGGATCCCGGTGAGAAAAATAAATATAGAGTAAAGCTATAGAAGCTATAGAAGACATCAGTGTGGTAATGCCCAGTATGCCACTGTCCAGACAGAGTGCTAAGAAAAATTCTTTTCAAGTCGTAAAAGAACTTGATTTTCATGATATAATTTTTCATTTTACCAAACTATACCACACTTTTATGATGTTTCTTGTGTAAATATTTTAATGTACAAGGAGGCAATTGGTTCATAATTTTCAATGAGTACAAATTAACTTATACTCACAAAAATTCTTAAATTCCAGCTTCAGAGTTGAGAACCTGAAAGCCCACGGTAGCCTGAAGCCTATTTGGTTACTTACAGTATATTTCAACCCGAGAGTTATTTTATCCCTTTCCTTCCTATAGTCCACATACTATTTGTATGAAAACAACAAAAAATGCATATCTCTTCACCCAAGCATTCCTATAAAGGTCTAGTAAAAAAATCAAGAAAAATAATTTTCAAAATAAAGTGCAAAGAAAAACCAGGTGCAAAACATGTTCAATGAAACATGAAATTATAATGATAATATTTCATAGGTACACATTTATTATATCTATTGATAAATTTTAAGTCTTAAAAATTTAATAAAATATTATCCACCTAGGGTAATTCTGACTGTACCGAGAAAATCATAGTTCACGTGCACTGTTAAAGATTTTATATGTACTAATATACGTATTAGAAGAGAACGAATAGCTATGAAATGTGAGTAATTTTTTATTTTTATCGGTAATCAAATGTGTTGCTATAAAGATCGCTGCTGCTCTACAGAAGTATTTTTAAATCTTTCCATTTCTTTTTGAAACATTTCAAATTTTGATAAACCTCTACTCAGCTGAGTACCTCACTAAACTATGAAAGCACATTCAATGATATTCTCAAAAATTAGTGTATCCCAACATAGAGTGCCTTAAATAAGAATACTGGAAAGATTTGTGCATAATTCCTTATTTATCTATTTGCAGATGGGATATGAAGTTTTGAATGGTACCTTATCCCCTGTACTATGTTGTATGATATTCTTAAAGTCAGTCCTGAATAAGCTATAAG